AGCAGCATGATTTATAATCCTTTGGGTATATACCCAGTACAGGTTCATTTTGAGGCTCTAGAGATACAGTGCAGCATAGAGGGTTAAAATTTCCAAACTGTGATTCAGACATGCAAAAAGCGTGAATCTTTATTTTTGGTAACTGAATTAAAATTTGTTCATGAGCCCCCAGTTAAGGTAAAGCATATAAAGAATTCTAGGCCAGGTGCGGTGGCTCACGCCTATAATCCCAGCACTTTGGGAGGCCAAGGTAGGCAGATCACAATGTCAGGAGTTTGAGACTAGCCTGTCCAATATGGTGAAATTCTGTCTCTACTAAAAAATGCAAAAATTAGCCAGGCATGGTGGCGCACACCTGTAGTCCCAGCTACTCAGGAGGCTGAGGCAGGAGAATCGTTTGAACCTGGGAGGCGAAGATGCAGTGAGCTGAGATCGCACCACTGCACCCCAGTCTGGGTGACAGAGTGAAACTACATCTTAAAGAAAAAAAGGCTAATTCTTTATTTTGTTACATCCAATAATTATTTTCAGCCTGATTCCGTTATAATGTCTTGTGGAACATGAAACTCTTTTGCAGGGATGCAGGGAGGCTAAATCATCTTTCTCCCATTCTTTCCAGAATGTCCATGAAAATGAGGTACACCACTTCCTTCAGGCCTGGAGGTGAGGCACTCCTGGTCCTCCTTTTTTTTTTTTTTTCCTTCACCTGTTGGTTGGCTGAATGCAGAGAGGTCTCAGCCGAGGACTTAGGGAGGCCCTGAAAGATGATGGAACCACAAAATTGGTGGCATGGTGATATAGTTTGAATATGTATCCCTGTGAAATCTCATGTTGAATTGTAATCCCCAGTGTTGGAAGTGGGACCTGGTGGCAGGTGATTGGGTCATGGAGAGGATCCCTCGTGGTTTGGTGTTGTCCTTGCATTAGTGAGTTCTCGTGAAATCTGGTTGTTTAAGAATGTTACCCATGCCCTCCATTCTCTCTCTTGCTCCTGCTCTGGCCATGTGAGGTGCCGGCTTCCCCTTTCACCTTCTGCCACGATTGAAAGCTCCCTGGGGCTTCACCAGAAGCCAGGCAGATGCCAGCACCATGCTTCCTGTAAAGCCTGCAGAATCATGACCAATTAAACCTATTTTCTTTATAAATTACCCAGCCTCAGGTATTTCTTTATAGCAATGCGAGAATGGCCTCATACACAGGGGGATCCCCAAATCACCACATAGAAGAATTTCTACTGAACTTTTAAACTCTTGGATGGTAATGTGAATGAGAAATAAAGATGTACTTGTTAAGACATTGAAATTTTTGAGTTGCTCATGACATCAACAACTATAATTACTATGAGTACATGGGTAGTACACATGGTCTATTGGCAATGAAAACTTTTATCCATGCAACAGCTCTAAAGTTCTAACACAGTGCATGGTAAAAAGCAGATGCTGAATAAACATTAATTACCCTATACAAAACGTAAATCAATTACAAGAACATGACACCAACAGGGTGACGTGTTTCAGGTACCTAATTGGACACATTAGTTTGAAATTAGGGTGATCAGATAGGATCAAGAAGACAAAATGAAACTTGGACATTATCTCAATGCACATTATCTTAGCTGTACCTACCTCCCTATGAAGTAAGCACTGTTATACCTTATGTTACCTCTAAGGGGACTGAGGTTCAGAGAACTTAAGCAAATTGCCCCAAACCACAAAGCGGACATTGATAAAACCGAGACTCCAATCTCCTGAGGATGTTATTCCAAAGCCTGACGTTTAATCACCATATTTTATGTCACCAAGGATTCCAGCTTGGTTTGGCTTCCCACAATATTTTAACCCCCTGAGGCCAAATATGTGTCTTTTTTCCCATGTGACTAGTACTGTTCTTGGTAGAGACCTCAAAAAATGTTTCTTGACTTACTGAATGCTTTGTGTTTATTGTCTCAGATCTGAATCCAAGAAAACCTAGACAGGAATGTCTTTTCCCCACAAATATGCAATTCACCAAAGAAAAAACAAAGAAGCAGAAGAAGTATATATTAGATTATCTCAAAGTAAATAGGCAGACATTGTTGCCCCTGGATGTAAGTAGTCGGTCACTTCCGAGTGCCTGACGAGGCATTGTCTCTCAGGAGCACAGAGCGCCGAACATCCTTTGCGAAACATTCTCCCAAGGAAGGACTCGGAGGGCTGGTTCACATTCACTGATGTCTGCTGAAGCCATGGCTCTTTATTTCAAAGACTGGTTCCGAATTTTCTGACTGAAACCCTGTTTCCATAGTCTTTTCTATTTTTCGTATTAATTTTTTGTATCAAATATAAAATGTATTTTCATTTTAGAAATGAATAAGGAACGGCTGGGCGCGGTGGCTCACGCCTGTAATCCTAGCACTTTGGGAGGCCGAAATGGGGTAGATCACCTGAGGTTAGGAGTTTGAGACCAGCCTGGCCAACATGGTGAAACCCTGTCTCTACTAAAAATACAAAAATTAGCTGGGCATGGTGGCATGCGCCTATAATCCCAGCTACTTGGGAGGCTGAGGCAGGAGAATCGCTTGAACCTGGGAGACAGAGGTTGCAGCAAGCCGAGATCATGCCACTTCATTCCAGCCTGGGTGAAAGAGAGAAATTCTGTCAAAAAAGAAAAAAAGAAAAGAAAAGAAAAGAAAAGAAAAGAGTAAGGAAAACACAATTTTCTTCATACCAAAATAATTAACATTTTGGTATATTTCTTTGTAGTTTTTCCCATGTATGTGTATTTAATGCAGTTATTCTTATGTAAAATATATGTCAATTTCCTTTTACATATTATCAGTTTGGTGCAAAAGTAATTCCAGTTTTTGTCATTACTTGCAATAGCAAAAAGTGCAATTACTTTTGCGTCAACGTAATACATCCTTTGTATTTCCCCATGTCAAATATTCTTGAAAAATATTATGGTGGAATAATCTGTCTGAAGTACGTAACACAATTTATTTAAACTCTTCCTTATTTTGAGAATTTAAGTAACGAACACTTTTTGTTAATATAAATAATGCTATAATGGACATCTTTGCATATATATCACTGTGCTCTTATCAGATTTTAAGGACTTTCTTAAAAAGTATTTATATCAAGAATAAACTATAGTTTTTTTGAGGCCTTTGATACATATTATCAAAAACTTTTAAAAATGTATAAATATATATTTCTACCAGCAGTATATAAAATGTCCATCTTTCTGCACCTCCACTATCCATCGGTTAGCATGAAGTTACAGAAATTCTAAATCTAAGTTCCCCTAGACATGACATCTAGGGGTCTAAGACCCTAAAATGGTGTGCCAAGTTTTATGTATATGTACATTTTTTGGAGGAGAGGGTTCTTGACAGAATGTTTAAGCATTGAATTATTCTTGTGTTTTTGTTTAATTTTTCATGTCTTAGATAACAAATGAAGTTGAACATTTCTTCATACATTTGTTGTTCATTTGTCTTTTTACTTCTGAGAATCATCTCAAGTTCTTGCTTGAGTTCCACTGGAGTATTTGTCTCTGTCTTTTGGATTTGCAAGAGCCTCTTAGAAATAAAAGATGTTGATCCGTTGTTTGCCATATTTGTGTGGCAATTATTTTCCTAGCTTGGTGGTTTTTGATAGAGAGAGATTTAAAATACTATAGAATCAGTGTTAGTGAATGTTTCTTTTGTTTTCTCATCCATCATTTCTATGTTTAGGAAGGCTTCTCCCAATTAGAGATTGATACAGTATATGTTTGTAATTTATTGTAGTGCTTTATGGTTTGCCAAGTATTTAATCCATCTAGAATTTAATGTATTATTCACTCACTTATTCATTTCTTCTTCTAACAAACATTTATTGTGCCCTTATGTGTCAGGCATTTAACGTGAAGTGGGAATTTAACTTGATAGTTTCCTCAACTGCCTTAGGTATTTTTCTTCATTATCATTTGTTGCACTGGTGATTGCTTCCTTTATTATATTTTATTAAATTATATTAAATTCATTAATATTAAAATATACTATTAGTATGTTTATCTCATTAATACATCTACTTACAAATTTTAATTAAATATCAAATTTTATCATTATACAAAATGGATATATTTGACAGTAAATAAATTTAAAAATTATTACATATATGGTATTTTCAGTTCAGTTTCTTGTATTTCATTAATCTTTCTTTGATTCATGCACCAATTCCACACACTTCCAATGATTGCAACTTCAGGATTTATTTTAATATTTGCTTCTTCTCATTACTCTTTTAGAATTTAGTAGAATGTTTTTGTTTTTTGAGATAGGGTTTCACTCTCATCACCCTGGCAGGAGTACAATGGCGTGATCTCAGCTCACTGCAACCTCCACTTGCCAGGCTCAAGCTATCCTGTTGCCTCAGTCTCCTGAGTAGCTGGCACTGATACGGAATTGGGGCAAGGAAGTGCTGGGAGGAGAAGGGTGGGTCCCTGGCTAGGGCACCATCCCCGGGCCTCTGCCCACGGACCTAGGTGAGGGCAGGCATTTTTGTTTTCTTACCCAAATGTTGCAATTCCCAAAACCACTCTAGCCTGCCACGCCCCCCTCCTGTGCCTATAAAAACCCCTGAGATTCCAGCAGGCGGACACACAAGCGGCTGGACGTCATGAGGAGTAGATCAGTGGAAGAAGACACAAGCATCTGGACATTGAGAGGACATCGAGAGGAGCACGCCGGTGGAAGAATACACCAACAGGCACACGGCAGGCCGTCAACACAGCCGAACGACATGGAGTTTGGCTGGGGCAGTCGGAGGAGAGCCTAGGACGCTGAGCCGCGGGACACCAGGGAAAAACCATCTCCCTTCTAGTTCCCCCATCTGCTGCGAGCTACCTCCACTCAATAAAACGTTGCACTCATTCTCCAAGCCCACATGAGTCGATTCCTCCGGTGCACCAAGGCAAGAACCCAGGGATGCAGACAGCCTTCTGTCCTTGCGGTAAGGCAAAGGTCTAATGGAGCTAACACAAGCCACCTATGGACGGCTAAACTGAAAGAGCATCCTGTAACACATGCCCACTGGGGCTTCAGCTGTAAACATTCACCCCTAGACACTGCCATGGGGTTGGAGCCCCACAGCCTGCCTGTCTGTATGCTCCCCTACAGGTTTGAGCAGGGGGGCGCTGGAGAAGTGAGCCACACCCCATCGCAGGCCCTGCGAGGAGGACAAGGGAACCTTTCCTGTTTCAGCACCACAGGGGCGCACCACTGTGTCCAGCTAATTTCTGTATTTTTTGTAGAGACGGAGTCTTGCTATATTGCCCAGGCTGGGAAACTCCTGAGCTCAAGAGATCCACCTGCCTTGGTCTCCAAAAGTGCTGAGATCACAGATGTCAGCCACCATGCCTGGCAGAATTTTGTAGAAATTTTAAATTGTTTCTTTTTGTTCAGATGAACTTCAGAATCATTTTGTCAGTAAAATTGGTATGATATTTAGAAATTTTCCTACTGAAATTCTTTTTGTGCTTATTTATATCTTATCTTCTTTACTCATCATAGGATGATATATATGTGGTAATGTCTTAACAGCTCACATCAGTATTGGATTTCCATTCTTTTTTTTTTTTTGAGACAGAGTCTGGCTCTGTTGCCCAGGCTGGAGTGCAGTGGCCGGATCTCAGCTCACTGCAAGCCCCGCCTCCCGGGTTCACGCCATTCTCCTGCCTCAGCCTCCCGAGTAGCTGGGACTACAGGCGCCCGCCACCTCGCCCGGCTAATTTTTTTTGTATTTTAGTAGAGACGGGGTTTCACCGTGTTAGCCAGGATGGTCTCGATCGCCTGAACTCGTGATCCGCCCGTCTCGGCCTCCCAAAGTGCTGGGATTACACGCTTGAGCCACTGCGCCCGGCCGGATTTCCATTCTTTTCTGCTGATATTTCTAACAGATTTTTGTTGATGTTCTTGCTTTAATTTGCATAGTTTGCTTTTTCGTTTGGAAACAAAATTT